GTGATACCGACGGATCCGGGAAGGAAGAGCCCAGCAGCCAGGATCTGAAGGCAGCGCCTGCAGGATGAAATCTTGCATGTTAGGAATGAAACCATTCCCAGCACAGCAACGGCAGCAGCCGGGCTGCACAACAGGAGGCACTCGGGCACAGAGCAGCTTCTGATGCGCTGGGGAAGAAGTCGAGCACTGAGCACAGCCTAGGAGCTGCTTGGCCTCAGGTCTGTGAGGCTCTGAGACAGCAGGGCTTTTATTTGGCGTGTTCAAAACAGAGGTGGGAACGGGGGGTTCACAGCAGAGAATCAACTGGACACGGACCTGTAGGCGATGTTGAGAGCCAGGGGCTGCCTGGTGGGGTTGTTCATCACGGCGTAGTGCCCCTGAGCGGATAGAAAGGGGATGTGAAGATGAGAGTGAAGCACAGGCATCCCAAATCCCACCATGGGGGCTACAAGGAGCCGTGCAGGCACTGAGGGAAACAACCCTGAGCACATGTGGCACAACATCAGCATTCATCCTCACCAGCAAATCCAGAATCCAGGGGGTGAGGGGCTCAAAGCCAGGGAACCGAATCCTCAGGTCCTTCAGCAGCCGGATTAAGACCTTCACCCTGGAGGAGGTGATGGGAGGAGGGTCCATAACGCATCGTGCCCATTCCTGCAGCCAGAACGGGAGCTCGCTCTCCCCCCACCCTCCATAAAGATGATTTTGGGCTCTGGGAACCGCAGGCCAAACTCACGTGGACTGAGAAGCGTTCTCTTCAAACCACCGAGCGTGTCTGATGGCGGCCAGGGCGCTCTGCAGCACTTTGATGTCCACTGAAAGAAGCAGCAGAAAAAGCCCGTTTTATAAGCAGAACAGATGCAGGCCGGGCAGGCAGACGTGGGGCAGAGGCAGCAGAGCCCCCTCACAGTGCAGCTCAGGGTCCAGCTTGCGGAGGTTGGGCGGCACCGTGGTGATGAGGATCTTCACCGTCGCGTCGGCTGAGCTGATCTCAAAGCCAGTTTCGTTGGTCAGCATGGTGAGGACTGGAGAGAGAACGGATTTCCTTACAGAGAGGCTGGGAAAGATTCCCAGTGCCCAGGAGCTTCCTCAGCTCTGTGCCTGGGCTCTGCTGGCGCATCAGGAGCCGCGTACCTTCGCTGGGGTCCTGCGCTCTCAGGCTTTCCACTACTTTGTTTCCCAGGGCTGCCACAGCTTCCACTGGGGAGCGGCAGAAAATCAGAAGAGGATCCAAGCGCTGCCGTCCCACAGCGGCCCAGGAGCTGACAGTACTCACAGGTGGGTAAGATTTTCAGGATGACAACCAGATCGGCCACGTTGTGCCCCGTCGTCATGGTGCCCTTCTTGTAGGAGCCGACCTGGCGAACCTCCTCGATTTGCTGAGGGAAAGAATAAAAGGAGAATGAGCGAAAGGAGCGGCCGAAAGCAGGGCTGTGTGCTGCAGAGGAGGGTTGGCAGGGAGGATCAGCATCCCCTCAAACGTCTCCTCGCAGGGCTTCGACTCACCACCTCAAAAGTGCCCGGCGCTACAATGAGGTTATCGATCACGTTGTTAATTTTGGTCACCAGAGAAAGGATAGAAGCCTGGAAGGGAATCGCAGGCGGGGGGAGAGGCAGCATGGGTCAGTCATCCCACAGCCTGCAGCAGCATCCAGCTGAGGAGGCCGAGCAGAACCCCCCGCACGCAACCTGTTCTGCAGCAGTCGGTGCCAAATCCTGGTTCCTTTTCAGCAAGGCTTCGCTGAATGCGCTCTCATCAGCTGCAGGCTTCACCCGAGGGAAAGCCATCTCACACTGCAACGGGATCAGATGTCAGAACTGACACAACACGCGGATTTCGGCTTTGTTTTCCATGCCCAGCATTCGTTTCTTTCCTATCCCCAACCGTGCTGCTCCGTTTGGCGCTTCTGTTTTTATGTTAGGCTCAAGGAGCGCCGAGAGCTGCCTGCTGTCCTGCAGAAGGAGCGCAGGGGAACGGCTGCAATTCCCCTGGGCTGATTCTGTGCCAAAGGATTAAACAGCACCAGGCAGAGCGAATCTGACCCCCAGCAACGGGTGTTTGTTAACTGCCAAACAAAACAACCACGGCTTTGTTTGCTCTGGACGCTGGGGAGCGTTTCGGTCGCTATGACAGCAATTCACAGCCCCGGGGCTGAGTGGGGGAACTCGTTCTGCCTGCAAGGCACGGGGAAAAGAAACCGATTTCCTCCTGGAAGGAGTGGGAATCGGCCCCAGCCCGATCGGGGAGGTCCGACGCGGCGCTGACCGCATCCCGGCCCACACGCACCGCCTCCGGGGTGCGGCTCCGCGTCCGGTTCGGTTCTGAGCCCTTCTCAGGGCTTTCCGGCCGCACTGCCGGAGCTCCCGCCCGACAACGAGGGAAACCCAGCCTGCGAACAGCTCGGTTGGACGCGGTTTACTCACGACATAGAAATCAAAGGGGATGTGCGGCACAAAGGGCCGGAACCTAAAGGGGAGAGAAAAAAAGCGCTTCATTCCCCGCTGTGCCGAGCGGGAGCGGCCCAAAGGGAGCGGAAGCGGGAACGGGAGCGGGAGCGGCCCTCAGCCCCCCGGCCCTGCGCTACGCTGCAGCCCGGCCCTGCCGCCCCCCCTCCCCCCACCCCTAGGCCTGCGCTGGGGCCCCCCGGAGCAGAAGCGGGACTCGCCCACTGCCAGGGCCTCCCCTGGAACCAAAGCGTCCGCCACGGCCTCTGCCTCGGTCGCCCCTGCGGAAGAGAAAGGAAGGAGAACGTTAAACGAGCGGCGGCGCGGCGCCGAGCCCCGCTGCCCCCCGAAGCTCCGCACCTCATCGCTGCGCCGCAACGAACAATGACCGCCGCTCAGACACCGCCGGGCTGCGCTCCTGCACCCCGCAACAAGCCGCGCGCCCATTGGCTGCCAGCCCCCGCGAAGATGGCCAATGGTGAGCGTCCGCTGAAGGCCATTGGTTTGGCTAGCCGTCAATCTACGGCGACGGGTTTTAAGCGGCCAATCATTAATAGCTGCGGGAAAGGAGGGAGGGACGAGTGGGTGCGCAGTTGGGCGCATGCGCCGGGATTACGGCGACCTCTGGAGGGGAGTCCAGCGCTTGTGAATGGGGTTGAGAGGAGCGCGGTGCGCATGCGCAGCTGAGAGGTGAGCGTGAAGTAGTTTCATGAGGAGGTGTTAATAAGCAGCAGAGTGGCGCAGCGGAAGCGTGCTGGGCCCATAACCCAGAGGTCGATGGATCGAAACCATCCTCTGCTAGCAGAAACCTTTTCCCTCTCGCCTTCTGTGTTTTTTTTCATTAGGGCTTTAATTAAGTAATTTAATTACCGCCGTCGCATCCAGCGCTGCGCAGTGCCGCTCCGCGGGCGGCACCGACTCCATCGCGGGGCGGACCGGCGGTGGGCGCCTCGCGTGGGGTCACCGCTCCGGCGGGTCGGGAGGGGGCGGCGCGGGGCGATCCCAGCGCGGGCTCCGTCGGCTCTCAGCCCCACGCGGGTCCCAACCGCGCCGCCCCACGCGGGATCCCCCCCGCCCCGTGGACGCGCGCACACACGGACACGCGTGGGGCGGGGTTGGCGGCGGGCGGGCACGAAGGGGTTAAGGCGGCAATGGGCGCAGCCCTCCGTCGCGGCCGGGGAAGGACGGGCCGGGCGCGGGGACGGGGCCACTCGCGGCGATGCCGGCGGTGCTGTGCGGGGCGCTGCTGCTGTGCGGGGCGCTGTGCGGGGCCAGCGGGGCCGCGCTGACGCTGGCGGTGGTGCTGCCCGAGCGGAATCTCTCCTACCCGTGGGCTTGGCCGCGCGTGGGACCCGCCGTGCGCCTGGCGGCCGCCGCCGTGAACGCGCGTGGGGATCTCCTGCCCGGCCACGCGCTGCGCTGGGTGTTCGGCAGCAGCGAGGACCGGCACGGTTTGTGCTCCGAGATGGCAGCGCCGCTCGCCGCCGTGGATCTGCGGCTCGCCCACCACCCCGCAGCCTTCGTGGGGCCGGGCTGCGTGTACGCGGCCGCTCCGGTCGCGCGTTTCACGAGCCATTGGGGGCTGCCGCTGGTGACGGCGGGGGCCGAGGCGCACGGCTTCGACGACAAACGCGAGCAGTTCGCGCTGACGACGCGCGTGGGGCCGAGCCACCGCAAACTGGGCGAGCTGGGAGTGCGGCTGCACCGGCGCTACGGGTGGGCGCGGCGGGCGCTGCTCGTCTACTGGGACGAGAGGGTGGACGACCGGCCGTGCTTCTTCGCGGCCGAAGGTCTCTACGTGCAGCTGCCGACGCTGCGCAACATGACGGTCCTCGACGTGGTGTTCCGCCACCGCGGGAATTACTCCTTCATCATCCAAGAGATCCGGCAGAAAGGGCGCGGTGAGTGCGGGGCGCTGCGGGGCGGTGCGGCGGGGGCGCGGAGCTTCGCGGCGGTGCGGTGCTCCCAGCCGGGGGTGCGCGGGGCGGTGCGCGGGGCGGTGCGGCCGCCCGAAGGGGAGAGCCGGAGCGCACAGGTGTGTGCGGGTGGAAGCCGATGTGCGGGGCTCAGTGCGGGGCTCAGGCCGTGCAGAGCTGCAAACAGGTGCGCACCGATCCGATCCGCACGGCTGCACGCCCGTATGCGCGCCCGCACAGCGCTGGGGACGGTACGGCACTCGTAGGACCCCCGCGCGACCCCGCAGACCGGAGCCGTCCGAATGCCCCCCACCCCACCTTCCCCACCCCCGGAACGGCGGCATCGGGGCTGCGGTGCTGCCCGTCCGCACCCGGTGGACCCGGGGGAGGGGGGGGGGCACCGTCGGGATCGCGGGCGCCGATCCGGGAGGAGGAAACGGTGTCGGGAAAACAGGAAACGTCGGGCCGGGCCCCCGGGGGGGGGGGGGGGGGGTTCAGCGGGGCAGCGACCCCTCGGTGTCCCCCTCCGGTACCCACCGGGGCGTAGCGCACATCGGGCGGGGTGCAGCGCCGCGAGTTTGTAAAGGGGGTTATGAGGTTTTCCCGTTACTGGTAATGTGGGGAGGGGGGTCGTGAGGGGGGGGTTTCACCGCCCCCATTGGGCTCGCACTCCGGGGGTGGCCGCGCCGTGACCCACCGCCCCGCAGTGGTGTACGTGTGCTGCGCTCCGGACACGTTGAGGGAGCTGATGCTGCAGGCGTGGCGAGAGGGGCTGACGCGAGGAGATTTCGCCTTCTTTTACATCGACATCTTCGGAGCCAGCCTGCAGGGGGGGGGGCGATTCCCCGACCCCCAACGGCCCTGGAAGCGAGGGGACCGCCACGATGACAGCGCCCGGGAGGCCTTCCAGGTGGGCGGCGGAGCCCCATCCCCAAATCTCGGCGCGCCCCCAAGGGTGAAGCGGCCCCGGGCGCGCACCCACGTGTAAATCCTCCCCCCCCTCGGCCCTCCCCTGCCCACCCCCTGCTCACTGCTGGCAGCTCTGTTGGAGGAAGGAAGCGACATTCATTTCCCCAGGTCCCAGCGGTGCCTGCTGCTATTAATAAGGGCGGCACAAAGCCAGCCCTGCCCGGGGCTCGGGGACCCTCCGCGGGCCGTACCCGCTGCCAGCCCCCCCCGAGTCCCGTCGTCCTCCCCCCTCCAGGCCGTCACCATCATCACCTACAAAGAGCCCGAGAACCCCGAGTACCGACCCTTCGTGGAGCGGCTGAAGGAGGAGGCGCTGACCCACTTCAACTTCACCATGAGGGACGGACTGGTGAGGAGCGGGGACGGGGGGCGGGGACACGGGGTGGAGGTGGGACATTGGGGTGAGGGGACGTGGGATGAGGATGGGGACACTGAGGACAGGAGATAGAGATGGGAATATTGGGATGAGGGGACATGGGGTGGAGCTGGAGATACTGGGGTGAGGGGACGTGGAATGGGGATGGGGATGCTGAGGACATGGGGTAGAGGTGGGACATCGGGATGTGGGGACACAGGATGGAGCTGGGGACACTGAGGACAGGAGGTAGAGATGGAAATACTGGGATGAGGGGACATGGGATAGAGCTGGAGACATTGGGGTGAGGGATGCTGATGATATGGGGTGGAGCTGGGGACACTGCGGTGAGGGGAAATGGGATGGGGGTGGGGACACTGAGGACACGGGGTGGAGGTGGGGACATTGGGATGTGGGGACACGGCATGGAGCTGGGGCTGCTGGGATGGGATGCAGGACGGAGCCAGGCTGCTGGGGGTGGTGGCACACGGAGATGTGGGGCTCTTGGGGATGAGGGGACGCCGTTCCCACCCCGCTCTGTGCCCTCAGATGAACTTCATCGCGGCCGCCTTCCATGACGGGGTTTTGCTCTACGCTCACGCCGTCAATGAGACCCTGCAGCGCGGAGGCTCCGTCACCAACGCCTCCGCCATCACCCAGCAGATGTGGAACCGCACCTTCTATGGTGGGTGTCCATCCCCATCCCATCCCATCCCATCCCCATCCCATCCTCATCCCCATCCCCATCCCCATCCCCATCCCCATCCCATCCCATCCCATCCCATCCCATCCCCATCCCATCCCATCCCATCCCATCCCATCCCTATCCCCATCCCATCCCATCCCATCCCATCCCATCCCATCCCATCCCCTCCCCATCCCACAGGACTTTCTGCCACCCCACAGCCCCACTCCCAGTTGGCTGTTTTGGGGTCAGACAAAGCAGGACGAGGCTGTGCAGCCCCCACAGGGCAGCAGAGCCGCTGCCCCCACCAGCACACTCCTCCCCATTCTGGGGTCCCTGGCCCCCCCTCGAGCCCCTCATTCATCCCCAGGCGTCACCGGGTTCCTGAGGATCGATGAGAACGGGGACCGGGAGAGCGACTACACGCTATGGGACATGGACCCCACGAGCGGGGACTTCCAGGTGGGAGCTGCACTGGGATGAGGAAACCCCACAGCCCCACGGGGATGTTCTGAACCCCCCCTTTCCCCCCCCCTTCCATCCCACCCAGATCGTGGCCAACTACAACGGCACCACCAAGGAGCTCCATATGGTGCCGGGACGCGACATCCATTGGCCAGGGAACGCCGTCCCCTCCGACGTCCCCCCCTGTGGCTTCGACCACAGTGACCCACAGTGCCGGAAGGGTGAGCGGTGGATGGGTGGGGATACGACCCGGGGGGGCCCGCAGCCCCTCACCACCCCCCTCTCACCCTCCAGCCAACCTGAGCACGTTGGAGGTGCTGTCGCTGGCGCTCAGCCTCGTCCTGCTGGCCATCACCGTCATCTCCTTCTTCATCTACAGGTGGGACGTGGGGAGGGGGCAGGGGGGCGAGGGGGGGACCCTTGGGGGGGGTCTCACCCCGCGGTTGGGTGCAGGAAGCTGCAGCTGGAGAAGGAACTGGCGGCCGAGTTGTGGCGCGTGCGTTGGGAGGACCTGCAGATGAGCAGCATGGAGAAGCACCTGCGCAGCGCCGGCAGCAAGCTCACCCTGTCCCTGGTGGGCGTCTGCTGCAGCCCCGCATCCCCTGGGGTGGGGGTGGGATGGGGTGGGATGGGGATGGGGTGGGTTGAGCTCATCCCACGTCCTTTCCCCCCCCCCCGTAGAGGGGCTCCAACTACGGCTCGCTGATGACGGCAGAGGGGCAGTTCCAGGTCTACGCCAAGACGGCGTATTACAAGGTATGGGGACACGGGAACGGGGCCGGGGACCCCCACCCCAATGGGCGCCCACCACCCCACCTGTCCCCCAGGGCAACCTGGTGGCCGTCAAGCACCTGAACCGCAAGCGGATCGAGCTGACGCGCAAGGTCCTGTTTGAGCTGAAGCACGTAAGTGGGGCTGGGGAGGGCTGGGGGTCCCCGCGGTGGGGCAGAACCCCACGCTTCACCGCCCCTCAGATGCGAGACGTCCAAAACGAACACCTGACGCGCTTCATCGGCGCCTGCACCGATCCCCCAAA